AAAAAATGTATTTGAACTTGAGTGGATGAATAAAAGTATTTTACTAACGATTGAAAATTTGAACAAGATATAGGAAGAGTGTGAGCTAATAGTGGGAGATTAATAAAAAGAAGTAAATTATTTGTTTTGCGACTCAAAATGAAGTAAAAAATTGGGACAAAATTACAAGTTTCGGTTATTTGGAAACCTAAATAATTTTTACCTGTAATTCTCTGTCAGTTTTCGACCTAATATTCTGTTCTATACATAAATCACTATAATTCCTTCTGTGTTTCTCGTAAAAATAATAACGATGTTCCAATAAAACAGCGCATAGTTTTCGCTAATCTTACCTTAAACCATTCGTTCTTTGTTTTGAAACTCTATATTAGTTTATCCCTTTCTTAAATTGTATGAATCATTTAGATATGTTTCTTAAATATTAATCCGTTAGTATATAAATTTCATTAATTATCAGAGAAAGAGATGCTCGAATATTGAACAATACAATAACTTTTTAAAATCTTTTTTTCAGACCTAGTGTTAAAACATTAATGAAACAACCACTTATGATTAAAATACGTTCAAAATATGTGAAAAAGCTTTTGTTACGCTTTTATTAAAAAATGAACAAGAATTTTACCTCAATGTTGTATGCAAATCTTTGCGTAATAAAATGCGTAATCGCGTAGTCCAAGCTACAACAACGCTTACGTGACGAAATACATACTATGTTTGCACTCATCAATACGGTACATATAGTGGAAGGCAGATGTACTATCTCTACTCATTTTCTTTGCAATATAATTTTCAGTGACCTTGAATATGATATTTTTATTAGAGAATCTTTAACTTATAAGGTATTTCTCCTTCCTTCTTAACGAGCCTTCGTGGTGTAGTGGTCCGCACGCTCAGCGCATAATTGAGAGGTCCGCGGTTCGATTCTCGGCGAAAGAGTTGCTAATTTTTCATCTTTCCTGTTCCCAAAAAATACCTAATGTCTCTACAGTGCGCCCGAACTAACAGTGTGTTGGATGAAGTTTCTCCTCATCCAGTATTTGGCGATTGGGTCCCCTAAAAACCCCAGTCGCCCTTTAAAAAGGGGAGTATATAAGGTATTTCTCCCGCCTTCTTAGAATGCCTTCGTGGTGTGGTGGTCTGCACGCTGGGCGTGTATTTCAGAGGTAGGAGATTCGATTCCCGGCGAAGGCATTTCTAATTTTTCAGTCTCTGTTGCTTCCAAAAAATAAATCCTTATGTCTCTACAAACTTTTAAAATCTTCGTTCTTTCATTTAAACATTTATTTCACTTTTTATTTCACTTTTTATTTTACTTTACATAGAAAGAAAGTTAGGTTACTTATTTTACGTTAGTTAATAATTAGTTCTTTTACTGCTAGTTAGAGGTTTATTTAGAGCTCTTTAGTTATTTTACGGCTAAGCGCATTTCTATCATGTTGATAACAGTGCAATATATGTTCTACTGCTCTCTAAACAGATGTCTCATTCCTTTGAATATTATGCATAATAAATTTGATGCTAAACTGTACGGATTTATAAAATTTTCTTTAAATAACTCATCCTATATTTTCGAATTAAAAAGAGCGGTAAAAAAGAAACCGAATGAAGATATTTGTTCACATACATAAATGTCTTTCGGGATTTTAAAGTAATCTTAAAGCTCGAAGAAATATTTGATTAAAATTGACCATTCTAATGATGGACGTATTTTGAAAGGTATGAGGAAAAATGTTCCTTATTGTTCCTTCCATTGTTATAAAATGTTTGGTCGCTCTCAAAACGGATGAAGTTTTATTTAAAATCCATACCAATCTAAAATTTCACTTTTTGTCCAATTTTAAATTTTGCAGTGACATATTTCCATTTGTATGTATTTCAAGAGTTGACACGCAGGAATCCTATCGTAAGGAAAGCAGATATTGAAGTACAAAGTTCATAAATGAAATAACAAATGCACGAAAACAGTGATAATAAACATTATTCAAACGGTAAGCAATGACTAGGCTATTTAAAAATCCATTATTTTATTCAAAACTTACAGACTGTTTTTTTCTATTATTAGAACTCCTAAAAGAATATTTGAATGCTGTTGATAAAAAAGACTTCAAACATTTCGCGATTTCTAATGCTGCAGTAAAATATCTGGCAATTTTGTGGTAAGATTCTTCGTTGTTGTTGTCACTTATCTTCATGTCTAGGAATATAGTAGACGAGGTCCACGAGTCCATTCACCTTCAAAAAATCGAAAATAAGCTTAAGAGACTTGTAAAGGTCTTCAAGAGACAACTCCATGCACTCAAGGATATGTGCCGGTGATGCCGGTGCATTTTGACATTTAGAACAAATTGGGTGCATCTTGAGACCCTTCTCAAAAGTAAGTCCTTTCAGCTGTCCACTGAAGAATCAAGAAAGTGCTGTCTGAACACATCTACCGCAATCAATATCAAGAAATCTTCCAGGACAATCAGCTTGATACCAGGGATGATTCGGGGGAACGAGCCAAATGTCTGTCTGCATGTCTTCTAATAGAATTGGTTCAAGATATGTTAATGAATTGGTAACTGGTAATGGTTCTTCAGAACCTTTCTTCGCAAGAATGTCTGCCATATTTGTTGTTGTTGTTGACTAATGCTCACTTGTCACTTGTCACCAAGCCCACGAAAATCTTGTAGCAAAGAGCGCAAGATGCGCAAGTGCCTTGAACACTTTACAGGTGACAGTGCGATTTAGCTCAGTTCCACCCCCGGTTTTGCTGGAGAACGCTCCGGTGGGACGGGTCCGAGCGTCTCCCACCCCTCTTCCCTAACTACTTATTTCTGGAGGAGTTTTGGCTAGCCGAATTATTTAGAGTGCCCTCCCATGCCGCACAAGCATTATACATTTACAAACATCCATGATTTCTCCGGGATTCGAACCCGGACCCTTCGGCACGGCAGTCAGCAACGCTAACCGCTATATCGTTTTTACGGTGTTGAAAGATTTAAATGTTGAAACCCTTCTTAATATATTTCCCAACATTAACGAAGCCGCATGGATAATAACAATAATTTATTCACCTTTCGTATGTCAGGCATTAAAATTGATAAGGCAAAAAATAGTACTAATTTCTTGATCTTTTAACCAGTTATAAGTGCGAGTTTGACTTTGTATTTTTAATTACCATGATTTTCTTTTGAGGAGTTTTCGTCGCGATGATGAATAATAATTATCAAAGTTAGCATGAGGTTCTTGTATTCATCGCATTCGTTTACGCATTCGGAAATACATTAATTTGTTGTCATGAAGTTCTAAAGTGGTCATTAATCATTCTTGATAGATTACCCTTCTACTTGACAACTTGAGATTCCAAGTATATAGCTATCCAAGTAAGTTAGTGATAAGATAATAAACCAGTAGAGTTTTCTTTTTCAATATTTCAAAGTTCACTTTGCAGAAGACTCTTTACGGACAATAAATGCAATTTTAAGATTGATTTTCTTCTCACTAAAGGGTAACTAACTTTAAGATAGATTTGGGAGGTTTTGATTTAAGAAAAGTAATTTCATTTTGTATTTAAATCGCTATGGACTCTAACATGCATATTTAAGCAACAGGTTGTATATTCTAAGCGGATGTGTAGCATAAAATAAAGACCAGTAAATTATTTACCGTAAAATTAATCCCGAGAGAAATCTTAATTATAAATATTTTTAAAATCAATCTTCAAATTAGTAAGGTAGTCATTATAACTTAACCTTTTGTATACGACACAAAATCAATTAAGCATGCAATAATTTGTATGAACTCAAAGCATCCATGTAATACTCTATAATCAAAGCGAAAAATTATAAATAAAGTTATTGGGAAAAGTTAGAATTTTAAAACGTCTGAGGCTGTACATTTAGGCTTTCTTTAAGAAAATAAACTAGATCCAAACTCTTAATATACGTAAAGCGAATCATGGCTGTGTCTGAAATTAAATACAACGTCTTGAATTTGTTTTTAAATAATCTTCTTATTAAAACAGAACTTGAAAATAGCAGCACGTCTTGTGCTTAACAAAACATCCAAAACGTGTAGCGGTAAAATTAAAGTAATAGCCAAATATATATTAAAGCGCATTATTAGGCTAGTAATCAAAGATGACAAATTATATATAAATCTAAATTGACCTAAAAGTCTAACCGGCGTAACATTTTAAACGTTGGCAGCAAATAACGCAATAATTACAGGAATGGCAGAACTAAAGCAACGTGGCTTCGAGAGGCTGAAATACGCTCTCTGTCTTTCAATTTAAACTTCAGCTTATATACATATCTACGGAGCTAGTAAGCTAAAGCGTAATTTTGCCAGCTCGATGAAGAAATGAGTCCTAAGGCACGTGACTTTGGGAATCTCTCGGTGCAGTTATCTCGCTAAAGAGAAATCGGAAGCAGGGATATCTCACAATACCAAAACCTCAGACGTCAGCTTAAATACTCTCTAACTCCTTTACATTTTTGGTGAGAAAACGGAAACGAAGTTGCAGTAAAGGCTCAAATTATAAATAACTAGTTAATTTAAATAATAATTTTATAAACTTTTAGCTGAAAATATCAATATAGGTTTTCTTGACTTATTTTTGTTTCGCTTTTCTACACTATCTGTTAGTTCTCAGGAATATAGTATATAATTGTTTGAAATTTATTTTGAATTTCATAATTAATACTATCTTTAATTTGAGGGAGAACGGGAAACTGGGAAAAATGGCATTTTACACCTACTAAAAACTAGTTTAAAAACGTAGTTAAAAAATAAAACTATCTATTTTAGTAGCATCAAGAAAATATCTATAACTCTACATAAAAATTTTTAAGATTTTGTTTTAAAAGATAATACATTCTGATTATTTAAAATCATGGTCCGTAATGTAACAAAGTGTTTTTAATACAGCATAAAAATGCTTTAAAATTGCAGTAAAACTCTATGATAATTGTAAGAATAATAATTCGAAATAACACGTACATATTTTTTATTTGCAGGTATACAGGGACCTCGAATAGGTAAGAGACTTTTCATTAATTTAATTTCTTATGCTGTATGATTAGCCCTGTATGATTAAAAGCCGCATTATTGTTAAACACAAATATGTATTTACTTGGCTGATAGAAATAATTTCATTAAATTTGTAAAAAGACAAACTAAGTGCGAAGTCTATGACTTTAAAACATTCGGATAATCAGATTACCTAATCGAAGAAGAGAGAAAACATAACAAGAACATAATAGCAACACTCCTTGTGTCTACAAAGGTTAGGCTTTGATTTGAGGGCTGTACTAGTCCACTTGAAACTAAAATTCTTGTTAGAATCTTCAGTCCGTCTTACATGAACTTTTGTTTGATGCAGAACATTGACTTCTTGGCCAGCTAAACATGAAACTATCTACATTTCTTCGAGAACCAAAGGACATATAACAAACACGTCGCATCATGCCAATAACTCCTCTGGGAAATATACCTGGCAACACGCTTCAATGACAAGGAGGCCTTTGGACAGTGTTGGTTTCCGCGATACGGCGGAAAGACTAACAAAGTATACGGAAGATTAATCCTTTGCGGCACAGTGTGTCCGGTCCGGACACACCTAAATATTTCCTTCTGTAAGCACAGAAAAATTGAATGGAAAAAGATTTATAGGTTACTATAGGTTACTCTGAACCTTTTTTATTTATAGCAGGTGGCAGCTCAACACAAACCAGTCCATATACCCTCATTTTTCAAAGAAAGCTTCAAGATTTTTTTAGGGTATGAAAGGAATTGTTTGAAAAGAAATTTCTATGTTATTTTTTTTGGCTGTATGCTAATCTCCTTATTCTATATTAGTTTTAAATTTTTACCTTGAACTCTTGCTTAAAATCAAACGGCGAACCCAAGGTGTGCTCAGATCGGGCTCACCGATAATCTAGGCAAACTGAGAGTCTGTATTCTTTTTTTCTCCGCATCTCAGCGGTCAGTTGACAACAATGCTCGTTTCAGCACTCTTTTCGAAGCTCTATTCAATCAGTGTTTCAACTTTGGACACATACACAGAATTATAAGGTAAGTGCGTACGGAGATATTTGAATGGCTCTACCTTGCCTTTTTCATTCAGCAGACTTGGAAATGGCTGAAAATCTGTATATTAAAGCAGAGACGCCACCAGAATTAATGCCTATTATTTCAATGCTTATATCCCTCATGCGCAAAGTCTGATTGGCTTTCAAATGCAGTAATTTGCATAACTTGTAGATGTGTACTTCTACTGAAATTTTTGTGGTGATGGGATCGTTTCTTTATGTTGTGCCAATATCTCTTCCAATTAAATTTTACATTCTAAATTGCAGTTTAGCAATAAATTTGAATAAATAAATTATTTTGCTTTTTTATGAAATTCTTCCAAAAAATTTCTCTTAATATTTATTTTCATAAACTTGAGATTTCAGTTTATGCTCATAAAATAGGAGCTTTTAAAATTATTTCTAATTTCAGATTACTTTGAAAATCGGCATTTTAACGTAATTTTGATAATGCTTTTTATTGCCGAGCATGCAGTTATTCGCCTATTTGAAAACGAATTATTAAAGAGAAGTTGTATATGCTTTAAGCCTTAAGAGAATACTCCGGCGAAGATATTTGCATATTTTATCATAAAATTATTATCTCAGAAAATGAAATTATCAATGTAGACAGCAAAGAGCTTAGATTGAGTTATAAATAGTCTCATAATACTCAGACCTACATATAAAGAACATACTTAAAATATGAAATAAAAATTTAAATATCTCATGGCTTGAAGCTAACTAGAACTACATGTAATTAGACCGGTTACAGCCGAAAACATCGCAGCAAAAACATCGCGGACGAAAACTTCGCAGAGAAAACAACGCAAGGCGAAAACGTCGTGCTACAAAACATCGTGGGAGAAAACATCGCAAAGAGAAAACATTGCAGTTCTAAAATATCGTGGTACAAAATATCGTCGTCGAAAATAAAGCGGTTCAAATACTTCGCAGTTTAAAAACATCGTCGTCGAAAATATCGTGGTAAAAAAATAAAGTATCTTCAAATCATCGCATGACGATAACATCGCAAACATACTTTTTCAGGCTTTAATAACTATAAATGGATATTCCCGTAATGATTTGTGAGCGCAAGATGGAAAGAAAGATAATTTTTACTTTCATAATTTTTATTAATCAATAATGTTTTGCTGAGAAAATAAAAATGAAACTTAAGCATAGAAACTTATTGCAACATATATCACTTAATAAAATTTTAAACCGACCGAGTTAACTAATAAAGGCCATTAATAAATCATTTTGTAAGGTTTTTACTGGTAATTTTTCATGAAAAGTATAACCTATAAGTTGCATTTAATTTTCTATGCTTAAGTTTCCTTCTTGCTTTTTCAGCAAAAATTTATTAGTTAATAAAAGAATATGAAAGTAAAAATTATCTTTCTTTACATCTTGCGCTCACTAATCATTATGGGAATATCCATTTACAATTATTAAAACCTGAAAAAAGCATGTGTGCGATGTTATCGCCATGCGATGATTTGTAGATACTTTATTTTTTTACCACGATATTTTCGACGACGATGTTTTAAACTGCGAAGTTTTTGAACCACTTTAATTTTCGAGGACGATATTTTGTACCGCGATGTTTTAGAACTGCGATGTTTTCTACCACGATATTTTGTAGTACGACGTTTTAGCCTTGCCGTTGTTTTCTCCGCGACGTTTTCGTCCGCGATGTTTTTGCCGCGATGTTATCGGCGGTTATAGTATCAGACTCAGAGTATTTGCAGAAAGTACAGTATTGTATAGTTTGTGCACAGTCAAAAAGTGACAAATAGTTGGAATAAATCACCTTCTCTCAATGTCACATAATTAAACATGAAATGTATATTTATTTCCTTTGCTTAGATTCTTAATATTTGGAAGTGTATTACATGAACTTCTTTTATAAAATATGCAGGATAGGTTTCAGTTAAAGATCAATAGAATGAATTTGTATGAAGTTTTTAATTTGAATGGAGTTTTTAATCGAATAACATATTTTTTTGTAAGCTTTACTAATAACTTTAAAGCTGAAAATACGTTTGCTGATAAAGTAAGGCATAACCTACTTGAAATTATTATTTCTACTCTTCATTTAACATTATGACAGTAATTCCTTTTTTTCAAATGCATAATAGATTCAGAATAACTGGTAATCAGTAAAAACAGTCCATGTTAATTTAATTTGAAATCCCCAACATCTTCCTTCAGGTATAAAACATGCTGATTTTATTTCTTTTATTTCATGCTTAATAAAATGTAATAAGTAAATAAATAACACTGGTTAAATAATGTTTTGTGCCATTTTAGAAAATTTCCATTAGAAAATTAAATGTGATATGTACTTTTTGTGTGAATTAGAAACTTTTCTGCGCTTACCTACTATTTCTTCATAATCCTGTAAAATAATGGTAAAATTCTTTAAATAATTAACATTTCTTTACATTTTAACAGCTAAATATATCAAACACTTCACCTAAGCGGTAAGGCAACCTGATAAGTAATAGATGCAAAGCATGGAGGTAGGAAATTAGATGGAGTGGCGCGTAATTTACCATTGAGTTCAATGGGTTTTGACACGAATGGATGTAATTATTTTGTAATTACGTCGTAAATATGCATATAAATGTATATATTTTCTTTCTCTACAATTTCTCTACAATACTTAGGACAAAATTCAGAATCCTAAGTATTTGAAAAGAATACATTATTAAACAACATTTCATTCTGAACGGAATTAAATGCTATACTTTTCAAAAAACAGTTTGCTCAGAATGGTTTAATTTGAAATATTCTCACAAGTTTTCGTTAATTACATTAGAAAAAAATCTGATGTGTACACCACATGACTTCCTTGTATTGGAATATTAAACTATACGCATTTTTTCTTGCATTTCATTTAAACTTATTGGATTGAATTAAATCTACTTCGCCGACAGCGCATAAACCACTATAGAATAAATGCATTCTCTAAAATTCACTCTAGTATTTGTTTACCATAGCGACACTCTGGCGCTAGTTTCACTTAACAGTATTAATAAATATATAACAGTTAACTTATATAATAATTATATAACGGAAACTAAGTTAACTGTTATATAATCCAATAATTATATAACAGTTAACGTATATATTTCGTTCATATTATAACTCATAATGCACACAATTTATATCATGTAAAGAATAGAATTATCTAATCTTTGCCACATGTTCTATTCAAATACTATAATAAAGCTAGAATGATGTATAAAAGAAATTAAGCAAACAAAACAAAAAAGAAACAGTTTTTAACAGACGATTGAGTATTCTCATTTAATTAATTCAGTTCTGACTTCGCGAGAAGGCAAAAATACATAAAAACTCAAAATATCTATATTAAAAATTAAGAAGTACATCTCAAAAACTTATTTCCTCGAAAAAATTCCAGAAAGAATTAAGCATGATTTAATTGGCAATAATAAATGAATGCGTTATCTTTGTTGTTGCGAAGCTAAGTTTCTCTAGATAGGCAACAAATCCACTAGTCTCCTGTTTCAAATGTAAACATCAATGGCCGCCATTAAAAACAGGCTTAGCGGCAATTAAACAACTTTAAAATTGCTGATAATTCTAAAAATATTGCACACAGATTTACTAAAGGCATAAAATCCTTAACCGGAAGATAAAAAAAAAAAAAAAAAAAAAAAAAAAAAAAAAACATAATTCAATCATTTTTAAAGCAAAAAATGTACAATTTACAAACATATAAGAGTAAAGAAACTGAGATCACTGAGCCGGGTAACAGAGTGGATATATATATAAATATATTTATATACGTTTGGTGCGGCCCATTGCAACCCAAATACGAGGTGCACATCTACATGTTATAGCAGTCCTATATACAAAATTTCATCGTTCTGGGGCTACTCGTTTTTGAGTTATGCGAGATACGTATATACGTTCGTAGAGACGCCACGAAAAAG